GTTTGCCTACATCACTATTTGAGAATCATTTGTTATGTAGTTAAATTGTTATGAATTGACGTCATGTTAATCGTACCTTCTGAATTTTTTTCGTTGTTTTAAGTGAGTATTGTTACATCAAAACATCTCGTACTTTATAGAAAGTTTTAGGCCTCAGTCGGGCAAAATATATATATATATATATAGACCAAGTTAGTGCAAGTAACTAAGTTATAAAAAGTGAAAGTAAAATTGAAAAAAATTAACTTGGACTGCATGTGACTTTAGCTGTAACAAGTGATTTCTAAGGTGAGTTTCACAGCTTTTACTGTAATAAAAGACAGAAGAGAATAATTTGTTTTGTCAAAGAGTGTTCTAAATAATTGAATCCACCTGTGTGGACTTTTGAAAAGGAGACAATTATTTAAAGTTCTGGATATAACTGTGATAATCAAGTGTAACAAATTTTTGTTCATGCATTTGACTTGTTTTGAATTTATTTTAAAGCAATGGATTGTGTGCTCTCCATTTATTGTTGAAATTTATCACCAACAAGTCACAGACACCTACAGTAAAGAATTCTGGTCCTATAAAATCTGACACACATTGACAGTAACTCTTTCAAACACAATACTGCTGTAACTGCCTAGGTTTTTTCTTTTATAGACCTTGTCATTCACAGTAGAGCTCACATGTTTCACACCAATTCTCAACAAATTCACAGCACCTAACCTAATACAAGTGTTCTCTCACTTGCTTTAGTATTTTCTAACATGTAAATGTTCAGCCATTGGAATACTGTGGAAATGATGGAGAGCTTCAAACTTTCAAAGCTGCAGAAGAATTCCCAGTGTTTACATTCTTCATAACATTTTTTCTTTGGGATAATGCAAAAGCATTTATATTGTTCTGGGTAGTGATGCACAGTGTTAAATCTCTACTCCTGTAGTTTATGGATCCATCTTGCTATCTGGCCTTCTGGAGTGCAAAAATTCACCAACCACTTCAATGCTGCATGATCTGTCCAAAGTGTAAACTTTTGCCCATATAGGTAATGATGGGATTACTTAGGGCTTAAACAATGCTAAGTACCTTTTTTCTAGTTCTACAATACCTCCTTTCTATAGTATACCCACTGCAAAAATCACTGGCATCTGTATCTGAATTGAGTGGATGCTCAAGAATTGGGTATGCCAATACAGTTGCAGTGGTCAGTCTTTTCTTCAGTCTCTTCAATGCTTGTTCATAATCAGCAGTTCAACAAAACCTATTTGGCTTTTCAAGTAATTTGTGTAGAGGAAGAGCTATGTTAGAGAATAATTTTAGAAAATGACATTAGTAAGAACACAGTCCCAGAAGTCCTGTTACTTCACACAGATTATTTGGTGTTGTTCAATTCTGAAAAGAGTCAAACTTCAGTGGATCTGTAGACACTCCTTTTCTGCTGACTATGTGTCCCAGGAAACTCACTTGTTCACACAATTATCCACACATCTTAGGATTCAGCTTAAGGTTCTCTTTCCTTAACCAGTCCAGAACCTTCCTTAGCCCATCATACACATTATCAAATTTTCTCCCATATGCATTTATGCCATTCAAATAAATGAGTTCTATGTTCTAGGTTAGTTCAGACAGAGTATATTCCATTGAATGTTGAAATGTAGCAGATGTATTAAATAATCCAAATGGTAACACAATAAATTGGTACAACCCATTTCCTGCAGTAAATGTTGTCTTCTCTCCACTTGCTTTGTTAACTTGCATTTGCCAATATCCACTCATAAGTAATGAAAACCATTCCAGATAGAACATCCAAAGTACAGTCAATCCCTGGCAGTGGGTAAGCATTTTTGTTTGTGACTTCATTCACCTTCTGGTAGCCAAGGCTGATGAGAGAGGGGGGGGGGCAGCTAACCCAGGGCCGGTTTCTGTTGAGGGGCTCGGCAGTGGGATATTCCAAAGCTCACTAGAAATGCATACTACTTAATGAGCTAAAATGGTGACTGCTTTTTCATGGATTCATAAAGAAATCTGTCACCTAAATTTCTTTTATGAAAAATCAGCTAAAGTTAATAAGTAGAATGAAAGGGGAGCCCAATGATATTTCTTGCCCTCCAGGGCCTGGGCTGGCTGTCAAAGTCCCTGCTGGTAGCCTATACAGAGAGCCTTGTGGCACCATCCTTCACAAGTACAGTAGGTGATGCCTATGGACTAGTACTTGGTTCCATCACTTCATGTTCCTTCATAGTTTCTATCTCTCTGAAAGCCTCAACCTATTTTGCAAGTGGAAATCATTTGGCTAACTGATGTGTTGAGTCTGCATCTTGAGTATCAGATTTGAGAGAGATTTTATTTATTTGGTCTAAATTGTTAGGGCCATTAGAGAATGTGTCTTTATATTCTATGAGCAAATTATGTAATATCTAGCACTAATCAGCTGTAAGGCCTCTATGGCTCAGATTATACAGTTCTTATAAGTGAGGTGGTAAACTGTTTTTAGGTGAGGATTTGATATCAAATTTTCTACATCTTTTCTAACAGGTAACTGCTTCTGGTACACATTGATGTGGAAGTACTATCTGTAGCTTCACATCTTGTAATGTCCCATTGAGATTTGATTCAAATTTTATGATTTTTTTTGTGTTCATGACCATAATAATGACTTCTTTTATTCTTAAGATCCATGACAGTTATACCAACCATTAATCCAACAGGAAGTACTTTAGTGTTTGCTGCTATTATGGCCCTGTCACTAGATGTAAATTTATTTTTTAACAAAGCCTGGTATGAGCATTTCACTTCCTGGTGATACAATGACTGTTTTCCCTTTTATCATGGAAAATTCATCCTCTGTGTTGCACAGGGATTTTCTGGTCATAAACTGTAACACTATTTGAAGCCTAATCTTGCATCCAAGTCTCCATATTAAGTCAGTTCCCAATAGGTACTCTTATTCGATGTCAATCAACCACTTGTCATGAAGTGTGGAGAAGCTTCTTACAGTAAGGGTAGCTTACAACTTGCATCCTGATGGAACTTTATGTCCACTTACTGTTTACATCACTCTATCTTCTTTCATCACTGCTTTAGGCAGTTTCTCACCTTTCATTACCAAATCTTGTCAAACTATTGTAGTAATGTCAATCAACATACTGCAAGGTTTCCATTAATAAACTCCTTTGACTTGTAGATTGGTTTCTTTAGTTATTGAACGTTTTATCTCATTAGGAGCAAATATGGAATATTCTCAGCTGAACTTGACTTATAAATCCAGGTAATTCTTGTTTTTTATGTCTTTTTAGCTCTTTGATGTTCCTTTGAGCCGGTTGGGCACATCTACTTATTCTTAGGGTATTGTCTCCTTGGTATATTAACAGCTGTTGATTCCTTACAGTGTCTGCTGTAATGTTCAGATATCTCAAATCTATAGCAGTTCTCTGTTTCTGGTATTCTTTGAGAGGAATTCTTATTCCCTGTAAGCTTTTGTCTGCAGTTCCTGGCAATATATACCTATTGTCTTGTGGTTTTATTTCCTCCATTCTCTGTAATTAGTTGTCTAACTAGTCCTTTCAGTTCTTTTAGACTATCATCAAGGGTGGCTGATGTTTTCATACTGCTTAATATGATGATCTGTAAATTCTAGATGTTGTCCTTAGCTGTTTATCTGTGACTAGTACATTCTATTTCCACTGCAAACTTCAGAGATCTACACCTATTTTGTTTCAACTTAATTCTCAAAGCCTTGTACGTTATAGCATCTGTAAATTGCATGGTCACATGCCAACAAATCCATTATTTCATGTGGAATATTCAGGTAAGATAAATGGACAAACCTTTCCAAATATTCTGAAAGTTCATCTAAAGTCTCTTCTTTCCTTCATACTCTGTTCTGGAATTTTGCTCTTGGGTGCTATTCCAAATTTGTTGGTTAAGGCAGCTACCAATGCTTGATAGTTGTTATGGCTCTCAGCTGGAGGTTACTTAGTATCATTAAAGCTGGTCCTGTCAAATCTTGTTGTTCACTTTTCCATTTGTGTACTTTGGAAATTATTTTAAACTGAGTCAGATATATCTCCCATAGTACCTTTCCATCACAGTCTGTTGGTTTCTCAATGCTATTGATTAGGCCAACTAAATTCTGGAACTGGAGTTTGTAGTGATATGGCTGGAGAAGTCCAAGAAGGTCTTGTGGTAACAGATTCCACAACAGTAATGATAAATGGTGTAGAAAAAATAAGTTCTCAAATTCCATATTTATAGTAGATGGTGTTTTAGGTTGGAATTCTTGGGCTGATGCAGAAAGAGGTTTAATCTTTGCATTTACCAATTCACTTTCTGTATGCTTTATTCTGTCACTAATGTTCTTTTCCACCTTTTTTTAATCCAACTGTTATAATCTTTCTGTACAACATAATGTCATTTTGTTCTTCTTTTAATTTTCTTGACAGCCTTCCTATGCTTTTTTGATGTCTTTCTGCATTTTTTCAAACTTGTTGTTGTAATCCCTCTGTACATCCCCAATAGTTTTGTGATCTTGTCTTCAATAAGATTTACCCTTGTTCTTAATTCTTTCAGTATTATGTCCTGTTCCCATAATTTTCTATCTTATTTTTCTAATGTTCTGACCTTTTTTCATGATCTTCTTTTAATTTTCTGTTATTTTCTTCTTGTTCTTCATTTAATTGTTTCATTATCTCTTTAAAAGTTTTGATCTTGTTTATGGATCTGGTAACCATGTTGAAATTAAACAAGGCTATATTTTGTTTACCAAAATAATTCCACTTTTGAAATCAGTGTTGTAATGTATTTTATCATTGGACAGGTGTTTTTAATTGTTTGGTAAAAATAAGACCAATATTCATGAACATTCTAAGTATTCTAAGATTACTTTTATAAACCTACTTGATCTTAACTTCATGTGCCCTATAGATAACTTCTAAATTAAAAAAATTTAAACTATATCTTACAACAATAAATTAGTATGTTCTTGTAATAAAAGCTGTTTGTACTGGCATACATAGGTCAACCTAGAAATGTAGCTGAAACTTTTATACTTGTACTAATGAAAACTCCAACTGGTTCATGCACCATGGCGGGTTCAACAAAGGTTAACAGTCCTGACCAGCCAGAAAACATGGGCGATACACAGTTTTCTTTAGAAGCAGTACCTGTTATGTTGAACAGTACTGATAAAGAAGATTTTGGAACAAGGTAACTGTACAATATATATGATATTATATACCTACCTATTCATATGGGATATGACATTTTTTGAGGAATGACATTTAATATTTTTTGTTTTGGCTTGTAAAGTTGGAAATATCTATCTGGCTTATTTCTATCTTTTTAGTGTCTCAGTTCTAATGCTTTTAAAAGTTATTTGCAGAGAATGAAATCCACTTAATAAGATATATATATATATATATATATTGTTCTTTAAAAAAATTTTAAATCTTGTAAATAATTCCAATAGTAACTTCTATTAATTTCTAAATTATAATATTATTATCACTCCTAAATATTTAAATTGACATGTTTTACTTGGGTTTACAAACCTATTATAGGCATTAAAACTAAACTTATCTTTTGATTCCCACCATTTTTGAGTTTGTGATCATTGTTGAACACCTACGATAAAGAGAACATATTCAAGCATGATAAATATTAGCTTGAGAAAGTACTGCTTATTAGAAATTTGCAGATAACATTGTACTGGACATTTATACATGAAACATACTTTATTTTAAGCAATTTAATAATTAATGAATCTTAAAAATTATTAATTCTTCCAGACCACCTTTTTTTCTGCCATATAAAAATACAAAAATGGATAATTTACAAGTGCGGTGTCAAAAGGTTTTATTCAAGTGCTAATTTTTAAGAAGAATTATAATTCAGTTTTACAGAATGTATAGTTTTTAATTGTCATGATTTCTGGTTAGTAAAGAGCTGTAACTGACTTATTATATAACTGATTTTTCAGCACTGACAAAGAAGACTGCTTTGATAAAGGGTGTGTATCATTTGATTGTTAAGTAATTAATTAAGTGTCAATGAGTAGCAATGATGTTAAACTTATAAATGGTAAATCAAAAAACTTTTTACGCCTAACAAAAATGATTAAAATAATGTTTTACTGCAGATGTTTGTACTTAGAAGTTATTTTTTGCATATTAATGTTTTTGAGTTCTTTGAATTTTAGGAAGATAATAGATGTCATTATTATTTTACCAGTTTCATTCTGGCAATACATTCTTGAATATATATATAAATTAATAGCTCTAAAGCTTTCAAAGACTAAATTGTAAATAGGCGATTTTTAATCAACACTATGAAACAACAGTCAATAATGATGACATTGATATAAGTCAGAAAAATTACAAAGCGTATCAAAAATCAAAATTAATTTTTCAATTACAAGTCCTCCTTGTCATCATTAAAACTCATAACAGATAATGTCAATGGCCATATCACCCAAATGCATTGGAGATATTCCATCTACCAGCTAGACAAGATCAAGATGCTGATGTCAAGCTAGCCAGCAACTAAGGAATATCAGTTAAAGGTTAGGAGTTGAATGCTTGAACCCACAACTTTTCAACTCCTACTATCTTTTGCTGTCTGCAACCAGACAATTACCTTTAATATTTAGATATATTCTTAAAGTAGAAATAAACCACCCTAAGATTTTACAATGTAAAACTCCCAACCTTCACCCTTTTATGAGATGCAGAAAAAAAAAGGCAAAAATATTCTTATAGTAGAAATGGACCACCCTATATTTTTCCAAATAAGACTCCAGACCTCCACCCTTTTGTTTAATAATTACAAAATGATGTTAAACAGAACTAAAACCCTTACTTTAATAGCTCTTCCCTTTCTCTTGAAAAATTGTTCAAGTATAAACCAGGTGAGTTGAGACAAACCAAGCTATCTGAAGTTGGTCTTTCTGCCCCAGGTTACTGAACAAAATACCTAAATGTTTTAAAATTAGTCACTTATAAGCCAAGGATAACCTTGAGTAACTAACGAGCTCTATGTAATCCACAAGGTAGTTTTCATAACTGAGAGTTTACTTTTTAATATAATTTCATATTCATTATAAGAGAGTATTAACATTTTTATATATGCCAGTCCTTATAACTATTATTTTGCAATTTACCTATGAATAATTGAACATTATCCATAAAAGAATTACTATCATTACAAATTGTTAAAAATCTTTTTAACCGAGAAATATTAATTTATTTTAGCAGTATAGATGGAACAATACTCTTAGGGTTAGTAGACCAAGGATGGGAAAATCAAATTACTTTCTTTTATCAAAAATAGACAACTGCACTCTGCCTTCTACAAAATTAATCTCTAAGTATATGAGTGCGCATGAACATCACTACTATTGCTTCTTTCTATTATAAGTTTCTGACTAGTTTGACATTGGCACTTGGATCTTGTCCGATAGATGGAATGCCCCCAATTTATTTGTGTGTTATGGCCACAGACATTATCCGCTATGAGTTTTAATGATGACAACAAGGACTGGTAATTAAAAAATTATTTTTGATTTTTGAGTCTGTTTGTAATGTCTTTCATTTATATATATATTTATATAAATTGTAAAATATGGTTATAAATCAAATACATGCTGGACTTCATCACCTGGTTGTAAGATAGCAAATTCTACTTTTATTTTTTTATGATTTTGTTTACCACTCATTTATTATTCCTTCTATTGTTTAATTCAACTATAAAGTGCTAACTGACAAGAGGATAAAAGTAGAGCTAACATCTATAGAAAGTCAACCCCTTTCCAACTGCAATACTTAAAATGAGGGTAGAGTAGTTAAAAATACAAACTTTTGTTTCTTGTGTGCACTTATTTTTTTGTTAGTTAAGCAATTAAATTACAATAACTTAGATAAGTTTCTGCTAGATCACTGGTGTAATTTCTATGTATTTTTCTTTTTTCATCCAGAATGTTATGCATTGAAGAGGAACTCAACCAGTTAGGTGTGGAGCTACAAATTCCTAAGTCTCCCACAATTTCATTACCAAAAACAGAACTGATCCCCACTCAAGTGGCAAAATCTACAAATGAAAACATTGTACAAAACTGTGTTCCAGAAGTGAAAGAAATGGAAGTTGATTACCATAATGAGGGACCTCGATTAGCAAGCTGGCTGCAGGGGCTATTGACATGTCTTAGGCCTATGTGGAATATCATAGGCAAGTCTGTTAACAATGAAAACAAAGGTAAGATTTTATCAACTTTTTACTCATTATGAAGAACCACATATGTAACATGTTGAAAATATCATTTATTCATTTATTATTTATTATATATCATTTCTGCTTTTATATCTATTTCAATACTCCATTTCAAATGTATCAAAAAAATCCTAACATATATATATATACCCTTATTTTATAACATCATCTGAAGTCCTTATATTTATATCTTTAATTCTTCAGTATCAGTTACCCAGCATTTTTCCTCTTTTCAACTCATTTTAGCATCATTTTAAAGTACTGATCAGAGTACCATATAAAGAAATATTCCAAGAAGTTAAATTTGCATGAATTTTTGATAAATGTCATATTTTATGATGTTGAATGGGTAATGATGTAAGTGTTTTAGGACTTTGACATATGAAAACTTTCTAATAGTTAAAATGTTGTAAAAAACAATATAAATATTTTTTATGAGAGGTGTTCAGGGACTATGGTAATGATACAAGGATGAGTGCCTAGGTGTAAAGCCCTTTCTTTGGCCATCACTGAAAGTGTTCTATGTGATGGATTTGGTTTTGGACTGTTGCTTTGTAGTGCAACTTTCACTGAAGAAGGTTCTTACACAAAACACTTAGGTCAGTATTGTTTCATTCCTCTTTACATGCCTTCCAAAGTCTGTCATGAATGGATTACGTGAGCTTGTACGAGGTCCTGTGTGAACAAATGAAAAATGCTGAAGTCCATTGCAGTTGTATATGTGGTGGTTTAATTGGTGTGCAAAAGGTATAGCATGAATTAACATGTATACTTGCACCTTGTGAAGAAACTGGTATGTTGACTTGAATGTGTGGCTGGATGTTTTGTCATGCCAAGGGAAAAGAAACACCTTATTAGCACCCATTCCACTAGCGATGGTATTGCCTTGCATTATAATAGTATCATCACATTAAGTTGAGAGTATATGGAGTTCATTGTGATATTTGTTTTTACCCTCTGGATGTTTAACTCACCATCTTAGTTGCACAACCATAAATCTTTGGAAAAACTTTCACAATATGTTGTGTACCAATTTATAAGTGTCACATCACTAAACATACTTAACTGCAGTCATTTAGTTAGATATATACTTCATCCATTGTGATGGTAAATTTCTGTTTGACTCATTTGACCTTCATTTCAGCTGTGTTGAAAGAATTTTCCATGAACTTCTGCTGTTTTTTGTTATTTCAAAACAACTTTTTGGATCCATGCTGAGCCCTTCATCATGTTGACTAAATCCACTTTAAAAGAAGATTTCAGCTGTGTGTTTTAAGAGTAGCTCTAGGATGTGGCTCTTATTGTTTTTATAGACCTAAATTCATTTTAATTAATTTGTATAAAGTTCCAAAGGTAGGTGGTTCTTACTTTAGCTGCAGTGGATCACTGTGCTCTTTGGTTACTTCTAGTGACAAGGTGATTAACTTTCTTTACTACCTCTGGTATGTGACTAGTAGCTGGTTGGGGAGTAGGCTAGTTTTTCTTGGTTGGAATTTAATAATGCCTTCTCTTGCTTATCTAATATGATCCAATACAATAGATATCCCTTTCTTTCAAAAAGTTGAATTTTGTGCTTGCATGTCTTTATAATTGCAGACTAGAAGCACATGAATCTGAAAATTGTGTAATATAACTCTTCTGGAAGGTGTTGAGTTTAGGCACCACATTGCAAATCAACACATTTCAACTGAATTGCAAGAAGATCTGGATTTACAGCATTTGTATTAATATGTGACAAGAATGGCCAGGGTCATGGTGATGTTATATACATATTGTTGCCATATATCATCAACAACTCTGTCTATCTATCCTGTAAAACTCTGTATTACATAGAAATATAGGAAATTTATAATTCCACAATAGATACCACAACCAGTCACAATCATTATCTTTATTAAAGCATTGCTGCAGTTTCTTGTGTTTTTATGTAAATAATTATTTTGTCAGTCAATCAGAAAAATTATAAGATGTATTCTTATGAGTTACATAGAACTAAAACTGACAAAACATTAGTGAAGTAATAACAAGTTGAAATTTTTTTTATTATCTCTACTGTTTTAGATGACTGGGAAATTCCATTTGAAAATATCAGAGATCTCCAGTGGCTAGGAAGTGGAGCGCAGGGGGCTGTGTTTTTAGGGCGTTTAGATAATGAATTAGTAGCAGTGAAAAAAGTGCGGGAAAAGTCTGAAACAGACATTAAACACCTGAGAAGGCTGAACCATCCAAATATAGTTGCTTTCAAGTAGGTTTATGTTTTTGTTTTGATAGATTCAGGTTATTGTGTATATAGTGGTTGATTTTTATTTTAAGAACATAAGAAAAAAATAAAGTGTATCACTTTTGCCAACTTCCAAATAGGGTCATTGTGGCAAACTTCTGGACCTTCTACAAACTATTTAATTGTAGGCCCCTTTTAATACACAAGTTTGGCATGAAAGTAAGAAAATTATCTTACCTCTTTAGAAAAATAACTTTTTACACTTACATGTTTTTATAGTTATCAAAGTGAGACAATTTACATATTAATTATTGTACTTTTTATAAATCTTTTGACAACTTTCTGGAAATTCAGTCTTTTTGCATCATCTCTTTCAACAGAGAACGTGGCCATTATGTGAAATGTAGATGAAGTCATATAGGTTTTAATTATTTTCAACTTTGCAAAAATACTCTCCACAGATTCAACAGTCACTGAAGCTGTTTGTAGCACCAATGCACTCATTAGGATATACTCCTGACAAATTATTTTTGTAAATAAAGTATATTTATGATGATAGAAAAAGATGTAGGTTCAAAAATTCAATTTAATACAAAAATACAATGCTCTATAACCCTTTCATTTTCATTTAGCTCCTGAAAAAGAAATTAATTAAGGTCAACCTTTGGAAAGTGCTCGGGTTATAGGGTATCATATTTCTTGTGTAATTATAGTACAGCATTCAAAAAAGTGTCAAATGTCTATCAGTGCTATGGCTAAAGGGCATACTGGCATAATTCCTGACCAAAAATCAGCCATATATGGCCTTAAAAAAATATTGAAGTTGTTTTACTACCATGGAAAAATTAATATGGCTCCTGCCACTTTAATGATAGTACAGTAATTTATGATCTCATTCTTGTAGTTTTCTGAAGTTCTGCACAAGATGATCTGTGCAGTTCACACAGTAGAGCTGCAAAAATAATACTCTCTAACAGCCAAAAGTTTGTATTGGTGCACTTGTGAATGATCTAATTTTGTAGTTAAAAAAATTAAATATATAATTGTAATGTCATTATATGTGTTTATCAATTATGACTACATCTAGTGATTGAATTTACTAAATTAATCCTATGCCAAATTTCACCTTTTGAAATAATAAAATAATTCATAATTAGTTAAATTACTTTTTATCACAAAATGTTACTGCTGCACTTTGTAAAAAATTTTAAAATTACTCCCACTGACTGAGTTTTGCGAGTGGTCACTCTTTACAAAAAAAATTTATCTAGAGCACCATCAATGGGAGAATTATAGCTAGATTTTGAAGGCCAGCCACTAAGTCAGTTCCATCAGTGCTAGATAGTGTTATAGCTAAGTCTATGTGCAATTTTATTAGCTTATGTTTTTCATTATGAATTACTTTAATGTCACCCAGGAGTCCAAAGATTGACATGAAATCATGGAACAGCTAAGATATATCATCCAGTTTCATTAAAGAACAGTCTACTATCATACAAAAACTATTATAGTGTAGCAAGGATTGCCTCATCTTCAGGTTCATCTTACTATAATGCATGTAGTGTGTATGTCAGTATCTATGCATGTAACAAAAACTCCTGTGCCAACTATTGAATTGCACCACCAACTAAAATTCAGAAAAAAATTCACTTTTTTGGTATTCAAGATTCAGACAATTAGGAAAATAACTGTGGTATGTGCAACAACCATTTCTTTATAATAGAACACAATTTTAAATAAAAGTACTCTCCTCACAGTAAGAATATGACTTTCACTAGGACTGTACATGAGGGTTAGATTATATTTCTGTTGGTGTAATTTTTAAATGTAGTATTGAGAAACTGGAGTTCTTAAAAAAAACTATTATTTTTCCAATAAACATTACCACTTTTAATATATAAGAACATTACATTTTATATCAGTAAAATTTATGAAAATTTTGAGCTCTGTACATTGGATCATTTTGATGCTATGAGTTGTGAATGACTAAAGGGCATAATCCAAATACTTTTCCCGTGCAGCACTTGTGAGAAAAAAAAATCCTTTTTTAGGAAATGTTCACTTTTTCTAAATATTTTTCAATGAGGTATGAATACTACGATTACTAATTACTAATTTTTCTGCCAATTAAATAGTGCTTGTCATGGCATCTTCAAAACTATTTTCTATGTAGTGAAGAAGGTTTAAAATAAATTGCTAGCAAAATCAATTCTTCTAGCTGATTGTGGTATATGCTTGCTGACTAGATGTATTTGTACAAGTGCATTACCGCAATCCAGGAAAGAAATTAGAAATTTGTACTGTGCTAGCTTATCTACTAACGATCCGGCTTCAGAATAAACTATAATATTCCTTGTAGTTTTCTTCAGTTTTGTTAACGCTGTTAAAATACCTTTTGTTTGGTATCTTACCAGTTTTACTCTTTCAATTTTACACTTCCATCTAGTGTAAGAAAGATATTGGAGAGAAATGTTGACAAAGAACATCACTAGCCTATCTGTTTGGCAATGCTGCTAAAACAGTAAACATTCTTCAAAGAAAACTAAAAATGTTATTGACCAGCAAACTTGCAGTATCACACAGTACAAGGTTTGTAGAATGACAGCCAGAAGAAAAGAAAACTGTCATTTTTTTAATTGCAACAACCCAGATTGAATGCTCTTGTGTTGCTTCTCATATTTATGTCAATATCATATTATTGACCTTTGCAAACTTTTCAACTTAAGGTTTTGAAGAATGACTTTTTATAGAGCAGAGCCCATGTTCTTCTCAATATTAATGATGGAAATGAAAATTTCTTCAACATTTTCCTCCATTTTTTAGTAAATAGACACCACCTTTTCAGAAAAAATGAAAATTTTCAGT